TGACGGAGAATGATTCGTGAGATGGCCCCTCACACAAGGTTTTGCCGTATATTAAAATTAGACCACATTTTATACTTACCTTGTATAGTTTTTTTTTTTTGTCCCCAAGGTTTCCATTGTAGGCACATCTTTGGAGTGAGACAACTGGCCTGCTCCATACCCAAAGCCAAGGATCGTCAAACCTTTGACCTTTAATTAATAAGATGGATGAAGTCCTTCCATTCAACCACACCCTAGGTTTTTACCTTGTATATAGTTGTATATATGTGAAATGTGTGTAAAATAACAAAACAGTAGCCAAAAAAATTTTTCCAACCCGTCCAAGTTATGTTTCTAGAAATAGTAGGTTTCTTTATGTGTTAATCTTTTTTTTTTTGAGAGTCTTTATGTGTTAATCTATTATCAAATCATTCATCAAATAAAAATGATTAAATTAATTAGCGGGAAAAATCACAAAAGGAATACCCAAATTTATATAATTTTTGTTTTTAGAAACCAAATTTATATAATTATATCACCAACTATACTCACATTTAAAAATTTAATTTGTTTAAATTAGAAAAATGTTGTTTAAAATATTTCAATACCATTTAATAATGTTTTATTGAGATATAAATGATTAATATTTTCTTGAAATAAAATGTTTTAAAACTGTTTAAATTAATAATTTCTACACTCACATTAATATTTTAAAATTGACTAATCGTGTCATATTAATTTATATATATATATATATATATATATATATATATATATATATATATATATATATATATATATTAAGGGTCGTTTGAAAATTTTGAAAATGTCTTCTGAAAAATGATTTTATGAAAATAATTTATTTTCCGAAAAAATATTTTAATTTTCTAATGTTTGACTTAATGTTAAAAAATTTTTTTTCAGAAAATTCATTTTCCTAAAAATTAATATATTCTACTACGACTGTCTAAATACACTTTTAGTTATCTATGAATGTACTATAAAGTATTTTTAAATGCACAATTATAATTACAGAAAATTGCATAAATGTCACTGTGTTTTTCATTTTAATTTTCAGCCTTTGATCATCTCAAATGGACATATCATACTTGTTGGCAGTTCTCACATTGGGTTGTTTATATATATATATATATATATATATATATATATATATATATATATATATATATATATATATATATAGTCGCATTCTGGTGCGAATGGCGGCTTGCTTAATTAGGAGCGAAATGTGAATAATTCAACGCGCGCCACATTTCCAAATCTAGGTGCACATATAGTTATAACTAGGTGCACCTAGGTGAAAGTAGGTGTACTTGTAGGTGAAAGTAGGTGTCATCAATGAATGTTAACAAGGCAAAATTACATGCACTTGTAGGTGAAAGTATGTGCACTTGTAAGTGATTTTACCTGCATTTTTTACTTGCATAGTTGCACCAACTACTTGCACATATAACACATTTACATGCACCAAAGGACACGTGGCGCGCGCTGGTTGGTTCGCATTTCGCTCCTGGGCGGCCATTCCGCACGAGATTGCGACCCTATATATATATATATATATATATATATATATATATATATATATATATATATATATATATATATATATATATATATATATATATATATATATATATATCAACCACGCACTTTAAGCACATAACAAAGCATCTTAAGAACACAAATCACACACATAAGATTTTAAAAATGGTTCACTTTAAGTTTCACATAACTGACGCACCTTAAGCATACAAATCACACACCTTAAGATGAAAACAACGCACATTAAGAAGGAAACTCACGCACCTAAGTTTCAGCAACTACTCACATTAAGCACAAATTCACGCACCTTAAGCACAAAACTCAGGCACTTTAAGCACAAAATCGACGCACCTTAAGCACAAAACTCACGCATCTTAAGTTTCAACAACTACTACTATACCATTAAGTACACAACCCACGCACCTAAAGCACAAATCTCACGTACCTTAAGCACAAATCTCACGCAGCTTAAACACAAATTCACACACCTTACTCACAAAAATCATGCACCTTACATTTGATCTAAATGTAAAAAATTATCAAAATGCCACCACATTTTTTTATTTAATTTTGATAATCTAAACGTTGATTTAAGGAAAATCAATGGTTCTCCTTTCACCGCACAACCACACCTGGCACCCTCAACCGCACAAGAACCCATATATATATATATATATATATATATATATATATATATATATATATATATATATATAAATTCGGTTCATATGAGAACTACATCTTACGTGAGAACATGGTTGTGAATCATTCTCGACTATTGATATGACAATGATTTGATAGCTCTCTTTTAATTATTTTGAGATTAGAAAAATATCCAATCGTTGAATTGCAATTTTAAGGCTTATTATTATTATTATTATTATTATTATTATTATTATTTGAGACAAAAGGAATATACAATTGCACGTTCTACATAGTACACACAACGTACTTTACTTCACTTTACTTTATTATTATTAACGAACATGGTTGTGACATATATCCTCTCACTATACAAGGATATATGTCATAATTATATATATATATATATATATATATATATATATATATATGTGTGTGTGTGTGTTCAACTACATCATTATATGACATACAACTATATGTCATTTGGAACTACATCTTATAGAGCCATCTGACATAAAGTTATTTGTTTTTCTTCATGTTTTATTATTTGGAAATCCTTTAGTTAATTAGCTATCAAATGAAAAGGCATAGTAGGACCGGCCATACCTTGTATAGTTGTATTATAGAGCCATATATATAATTATGACATATATCCTTGTTCATGTTCAGGTGCCGTTAATTTATCTTTTTATTAGTCGCAAAAGCTTTGAATGTTTTTAAACTATTCAACCCCCCTCCCCCCGTCCCACCACACACATATAGGACCAAGTTCACATAAAATCTGCAAACAAATTTAATCCGTTCATTTAGAATAATTAAAAGTTAAAAATCAACAAAACACTAGCACATCAGGTACACTTGTATAAGTGAATCCGCTACATTTGTACAAGTATAACAAATGTGGGTGACGCGAAAAGCTCTACCTTTTTGAAAACATATGTTATTTATTTATTTTTTTAAATAAAGACTTTCCGCGACACCATCTGGAGAGGTTGTCGCAAAAAGTTTTTTATTTTTATTTTTAATTTATAAATACTTTCTGTGACATCTCTATAATTTTTGTGAATTGTTGTAATTACAATTGTACATTTAGAAATACTTAATAGTGAATTTAGGAGTGTTTGTCAATGCACGAGAATTGCAGACAAATTTGATCCGTCCCTCTAGGATGATCAAATGCTGAAAATCAACGAAAATGAAAAAAAAAAAAAAAAAAAAAAAAAAAAAAAACATGCGGTGACATTTTTGTAATTTTATGTAATTATAATTGTGCATTTAGAAATGCATAACAGTGCATTTTGAAATGTTTGTCAGTGCACGAATTCCACTACCTGATTCTCATCGCCTTCCTCCTCCGTGTCAACAAAAGACTTTCTAAATGCACTTTTAGTTATCTGCAAATGCGGTGTCAAGTATTTTCAAATGCACAATTGTATTTACAGAAAATTTTAGTATCCTTATTTTTTTAATCTTTTTTTAGTTTTAGTATTTATTTGCAAAATAGAAAATCGAAACCTTCTCCACTAAATTTTCCTTTTCCAATTGAGTTACATCGTCCCTATTTTCTATACACGAACCTGTTAAAATCAATTTTTTTAATTTTACAAATGAAATATTATTGAGACTAAAAATGATTAAATTTTTCTTTAAAAAAAATTAAAATACTAAAAATACTCATGTAGTAAGTAAAATTTTAATAGTTTTGCTTGTTTGGAGATTAAAAGTGTAACTTCTTTTAATATTAGAGGGTATATTGCAAATTTGCAATGGTAAAAGTTATTTACTAAAACATCTAGATAGGAACCGTTAATTGACTAAAAATAAAATTTTCCTCATTCGGCTAATCATATATAAACTGATTAGTGATTACATTAGAAATTAATTAAATAAAGTCATATTAGATTAGAAATAAGGGTCAAATAGGACATCCAATTACACACCAAACTACAATTAGGTCACTGAATTAAAAAAAAAAACAACAATTAGGCCTCTGAACCACACAAATTCTTACAATTTAATCTAAAATAACTTGTTTACCTTTTAATATAATGACGTGTCGATTTCTTTATTTTAAAATAATTTTTAAATTTTTTCAAAATAATTTTTAAATAAATAAATATTTAAAAAAAAAAATAGCCAGAGACCCTTCGTCTCCGGCCAGCCATGGAGAACCTTTCGTCTCCATGCATGGTTGCCGTCTCCGGCTCTGTCTAGCCATGGGGGCGAAGGAGCCCTTCGTCTCCGGCTCCGTCCAGCCATGGAGACGAAAGGTTCTCCATGGCTGGCTGGAGACAAAGCGGTCTCCGGTTTTTTTTTTTTAATTAAAAATTATTAAAATAATTTAAAATTATTTTAAAATAAAGAAACCGACATGTCATCATATTAAAAGGTAAACAAGTCATTTTAGATCAAATTGTAAGAATTTGTGTTGTTCAATGATCCAATTATTATTATTATTTTTTTTTAGTTCGGTGACCTAATTATAGTTTGGTGTATAATTGGATGACCTATTTGACCCTTATTTCTATTAGATTATTTTTAAAAGAAAATTTGTAGAAGAAAACCTTATCCAATATCATTATCATTATTTGTAATTCAAATTTGCCTTAAAACGCATATCCAAGAAGGTTTCCTGACAGGGAAGGTAAACGACGAGCAGGAGCGACGAGTTATGATAAAAACCGGCGAGGGCGACGGAGAATCTAGAAAAAGACTACACTATCTTGGACATGTGGACATGCATGGGCATGGCATGCAGCACTTTCGTTTATATCAACTCAGCATTATTGGGTTGTGCTCTGAAACTGACCAAAATAGTGTGCCATTGTTCATTGGTAAGTAAGGTGGTGAGTAAACATGGTGAAGAATATTGGGTTCCTCTTTTTGTTGGTTTTGGGATGGGTGAGGGGAGGACGAGCACAATATCTGACCATCCATATTGACCAGTCAGGGTCGTCCGACTTCAAAACCATCCAATCAGCCATTGATTCAGTCCCCTCCAACAATTCTCAATGGGTTTGCATTTCCATCAAGCCTGGCATCTACATGTACGCATACATTTATTTTATGATTATACTTTTTCTTAATGTGATTTTTAATTAAATATATTTGTTTTCAAACTTCAATTTCTATACAACTCATCTGTTCCGTTGGATATTGGTGAATAAATCGATACACAAAATATATATTTATGCGAAAATGGAATTTAATTTATAGAAAATTAATTCCAATCAATTTTGGTACAAAACCAAAATTACATATATATACGAGCTAGGTATGTATATTAACAAAATAGGGATTTATTTTATAAAAAATAATCTCTACCACAACTAGTACAAGGGATTTAATTTCCACGAAATTAATCCCATCACATTTGGTACGAAATCAAGAACAAATATAAAACAAGAAAGGGTTTCTAACCTGAGGTTTTAACCTAACGAGAAGAAAAAGAAGCAGAAATCCGAGTCGTGTGTACACACACTCTTCTTAAAACCGATTCGCCACCTCCCGAGGGTACTATGAGCGTTGTGGCATCAGTCTCGCAAGATAAAACGGACTACGACTTTGGCGTTCGAGCACTCCAACCCAAAGCCCGGCGAACTAGAACACAAGTTGAGCACTCCGATATTTTACGGAAGATGTTGGCAGAATTTCTTTTCTTTTGTAAACGAATTGAGAGTAGAGAGAAACAAAAAGAAAAGTTTTGAGAATTTTCAAAAATGGCCAGCAATACATTCTGCCAACAACAAGCTTTTATGTAGGAGAAGGAACTTAATAGCATTATAATGGCACATTAATCCAACATATATTCAATTTAATAATGGGATAATAACATTTGAAACGATCGTACTTATTATCGTAATAATATCAACGGTCACGAACTTAATATCTGATTGATACGTACCGACCATGACGACTCATTTCAAAATATCTAAGTAACCAAAAAATCGATCCATATAAACTGAAAGATATTTAAAATGGGACTAAAAATCGCACCCATGTGGTGCTAAAGTGTAGCACGAATCAATGCATACAGCATTGATTCGTGCCCACCGATTCGTGTACATAAGCACAATTTGTGCTTCTTTCACTCAATCCACAATTCCACATGCACCGAATTGTGCATTAGTCCCAATGCTCAAATTAAGCTTTCAAAGCTTAATTACACAACACTTTCGTATAGCACCGAAAGCAAAGCACGAATTGGGCTAAATATCCAATTCCCATTTATAAGCTTTCGTACTTAAGCTTTCGGTAAAGCTTAACAAAAGCACATCTCGTGCTTAATGATTTCATTAGCACAAAATGCTAATTAACTACTTGCTTAATTATCTTTTGGGAAAATTGTAAAAAATGCCCCTCTATAATATGTCAATTATCAATGTCACCACTGAATTATGAGTTATGTAAAGATTGCCCCTCAATTATCAAAATAGTGCACATATAGCCCCTCCCGTAACAGACCTGTGGTTCCCCACCGTTGTCATCTCTGGTACTTCGAATTGAGGGAGGAAAAAACAACTAAATTACATATTTACTCCAACTTAACGATGTCGTACACTAACGGGGAATCACATGTCCGTTACGGGGGGGGGGGGGGGGGGGGGGGGGGCTATATGTGCACCTTTTTGATAATTGAGGGGCAACATTTACACCACTCATAATTCAGGGGTGACATTGATAATTGACATATTATAGAGGGACATTTTTTACAATTTTCCCTTATCTTTTTGTAATTTGGACTTCTTTTAAATAGGTTCATTTTGAAAATCAATTTCTCATTCACCTATTACCCATTTTGATCGTACAATATATCAATTTCTTCATCTCACTACGAAGAACCCGAATCCACTTTGACCCAACCCAAATCGAAAGTGGACCCCACATATATTTGTACCACAAAATAATCACTCAAATTGTCATTTTTAACTAAAAATTCCAACATCATCTATCAACATGTTTAATTCAAGAAATAAATTCTCTTCTACTGGTTGACTTTTAGAAGGAATAGACTTCAAAAATTGAATTATTGTTGATTGTAATAATTTTATAAGACCACACTCATAATAAATTAAGTATAAATACAAGTGGATGGATTAAAATAATAATATTATTAACCAAGTACATGTCCAACATAAATAAATAATAAAGCCAGCCTAATAAGGGTCTAAGCCCCAGTTAAACTAGGCCTTTGGCTCTAGCCCTAGAAACCAATGGACTAATTGCCATGCCTCAGATCAAGCATGTCCACACATGAAATGAGTGATTGTCATTCTTCGATCAACCTTGTCTACCAACTTGTCAACACCACAAGTTCCCACCCTATATCTTTCTTAATCATTAGCTAATTTTATTGCTTCCAATTACAGAAGAAACATGGTAGTCTAGCTTGAGTAAGATGTACTTGTAGGTTAGGGATTTGAGTCTTTGTGGTTACATTTTTTCCCTCATTTTTGGTAGTTATAGCTTAACTTGAACTAAACATCATTTTAGGCCCCTCTCTAACCCAATTATCATGGGTCCTAGATACCATGACTCCATGAGTCCATCACGAGTCCCCTCTCACGATCTCGCACCACAACTTCTATACTCACCTCGTCGAATTGGAGTCCTAACACCTATAACTGTTCTCGAGCTTTGCTCTCGACCTTGAGCCCAAAGGCTCCAACCGTTGTTTGGATCATCGGATGCTCCTAAACAAAATCTTCCCCGTCATCTTCATTTCACTCACCTGTATAATACTTCCTTGCCACATGTTCCTCTTTTAGACGGTTGTGAGAATCTCACGTATTGACTTCTCCCTCTTGACAAGCCTCTAGGCCCACTTAAATCCTATTGGGCCTCTAAGCCAACATATTCTCTTTTTGAGCAGCAATGCACCCACCACGTCCTTATGTGCAGTCTGTCAAGATGTTGCTATGCCTTCACTTTTTTTTGTTTGATGTGTGTTGCCTTCTTATGTCACCTTCCCTGCTTGCGAGCCCACAAATGATTTTTTTTTTCACTACCTTCCCTACATGCAGGCCATATCGAGCTGCATTCCCTACATGTGGGCCCGTCTAGAATGTTTTTTTTATTCCTTGGGTTGTAGGCCCACTACAATGTTGTTACTAATTCCTTGGGCTGCCTACCCGAGCTTGAAGAGTGCTTTGGTGATTGGGGGCGGGTTTGCCTAAGCCTCCGGTCTAGCGGTCGCCTGCTATGTCGGGTTGGGTGTGCCCCCCACTGTTGCTGGGCTACACATACGCCGATGACATTCCTAACTCTTAGGCTAGCAGTTGGACGCTGGATCTCAACCTTAGAGAGTTGAGGTTAGTTCTTGACGGGTGTCCTCTTCGACGGCCAAGGTGCAAGTGGGACATCTAGTTTGTTCTGGGCAAGAAACGACCGATCTCCAAGAGCACAACTGCCTCCTTCCTCGTTGGTCGAGGCATTCCCGTAGATCTTAGGAATGTTCGCTTCTGGATATGGCCATTTTGATATATTTCAGGGCTAATTTTGTGTAAATAGAGTGTGAAGTCAGACAGATTTTAGAAACGCGTACTTTTTATAGTGATCCCCACAAATAGAGCCAATGATGGTCTTATAGGATCTTTAAAATAATAATATTATTCACTGCTAGAAATTTTGGAATCTCCGACCACCTAAAAGTGATCTTAAATCAAGTCGAAAGCCTTGTTCCGACCACTTTTGGTATCCGGAAAAACCTTTGTTGCTATTTTCGGCCACTTTTTGCTTTCGAATTGATTTAAGATCACTTTCAGGTGGTCGGAAATTCAATAATATCCAGTAGTGATTAATCGGGTATCGAGCCTTAATAATATTCACAACTGGGCTACGAGTAAATAATGATAGTCCAACAAGGGTCCGAACCCCAGTTATACTAGGGCTTTGACTCTAGCCCATAAGACATGTTATTTTGGAATTCAAACCTAAGTGTTGTGGTTTGAGGATAGAGAAGAAATCACTGGACTAAGTGTCCTATTCGTGATTGTTTGATGTTATAATGGGGCAAGAGACTTGATTTATAATGTTTGTAATTATAATGCATTAATCAAGCATGTTCATCCTCACCCATGAAACGAGTGATTGTCATTCCTCGATCAACCAACTTGTCATAACACAAGTTGCCATCCCACATCTTTCTGGTTAGCTAATTTTGACCACTTGTAAGATGTAGTTATGCACTAGTTTTAGTGCTTAGCTTGAAATCTTGAACTATACAATGTTTTAGGCCCTTCTCTGGCCCAACTTTCATTGGGCCGAAACTCTATGGTTCCACCATGTTGAAATAAGAACTATAAATAGAGTAAATATTCAAATTACATAAATACCCAGTTATTCCTTGTGTGCTTGAAATGAGTAGTTATTCCCCTGCTTGTTGGAAATTCTATTCTTAAAGTAAAAATACTTACCAAATATGAGAATTAACCTATACTTGAAAATGCTATTTTGTTTCTCACCTATTTCATTTCGTTGTTATTATATTGATTTTGGTCATTTTTATATATATGTAGGGAACAGGTAACAATTTCGTATCACAAGCAATATATTTATCTCAAAGGAGAAGGTAATGAAAAAGCCAGCATTGTTTGGGGGAACAGTGGTTCTTTCAGCTCAAGCCCAACTTTTGCATGCTTTGCGGACAATATCAAAGTTGAAAACCTTAATTTTGTGGTACAGACACTAAATTCGATCAGTTCCTTAATGTAGTGAAATTTGGTCAATTTGATTCACAAAACGTGAGAAAACAAAAACAAAGGCCTTGTTTGGCAATATAGTTAGCTTATCAGCTAATTTTAACTTATTTGATAACTATTAGTTGTTTGATTTGGTTAAACAATCAATATGAATGTTTGATTAATTAGTTTTTTGTAACAATTTATTGCTCCAAAAGGCTAATAAAATTCAAAAAGCTGCTCAAAGCAGCTTTTTTAATCAGCTTTTCGAAAAGTTATTTTGTATGTAATTAGGTATTAGCTAATAGCTAATTTATCAAACACTTTTCTACAATCAGCTAATGCTATCAACTAGTCAAACCTACTAACCCAATTAATTAACAACTATATTTACCAAATACCCTAAAGTGTAGGTATAGTTGCTGCTTATCTATTCATAACTACAGTTATGTATACCCTTGAACAGAATTCTTACAATTATCCTCCAATGCTGAAGTCAAGTCATCCCACAATACCGGCGGTGGCAGCTAAGGTTATCGGAGACAGAATGGCGTTTTACGATTGTGGTTTTTACGGCGTGCAAGACACGTTGTTGGATGCCATGGGCAGACATTATTTCAAGCGTTGCATCATTGAAGGGGCCGTAGACTTCATCTTTGGTGCCGGTCAGTCTATTTTTGAGGTACGCTTTGCTTAGTTTTCTAGCCCTTAAATTTGTTTAATTTGTTTGTGTTTTTTTATTACTTCATCCATCCCAATTTACATATCATATTTAGTATTCATTACTCGAACTCTTTCTTCTTTGTTTTTCTCTTTAGAATTTTTTAATTATTTTTAAATTTAATTTTTTTTTTGTGTTTAATAGTACTTTTAAGTTAGTTTCTAAATATATAAATTTTATATATTAATATTAAACTTAATATTATGAAAAATTGAATTAAAAATAATTTCAGTCAAGTCTCGTTAATTAAATCAGACACATAAAATGGGACGGAATGAGTTTTTTTTTTAACCAAATTTGTAATTCATGTGTAAAGTTTTTTTTTTTTTTTTTTTTCAACTTCTTGAATAAGGAAAATACAAAAGAGATAGTACCAATAGTAGTCCTTCGAGTATGGTGGGCAATGGCTCCGTCAAGTTTAGTCCTTAACTTTCATATTGATCACCATTGGCCGCCCTTGGAGTTTTGATCACCATTATATTACCGTTTAAATCTATTTGGTAATTTAATCTCAACAAATAGATATAAAAACAAAGAACTTATTGAGTCGACTAATTTTCTATAATGTTTTGTCTGATGTTGTGTTTTTAGGAGTGTACAATAGTGGTGAATGTTGGGGAATCGTTACGAGAAGGCAGTACAGGATTCATAACAGCACAAGGAAGGTCAGGTGCAAATGATAGCAATGCATTTGTTTTCAAGAACTGCAATGTGACTGGAAGTGGCAAGGCAATCTTGGGAAGGCCATGGAGACCTTATGCTAGGGTCATCTTTTTTAACTCTTCCCTCTCCGACGTCGTTGTTCCTTATGGTTGGGATTCTTGGTTTTATGCGAATCAAGTGTAAGACATACATCTTTCTTCTCTCTGGACTAAAATTGCTACTTTGTACAGGTTATAATGGTCGTCACATATATAATTTAGGGACTAAAGTCTATACTATGGGTATAATTGAAAAACTAAAAATATAATTTTTTCTAAATTATTTAAGAAAATCTTATCATATCGAATAGTAATACTTAACCAATCCAATGGGACCGGCTCAGCTCCCGGCGTGGGGAGTTTGGCGGGCCCTCTTACCGCTCTGGTGTTAACTAGCCAGTAGCCGATTTTGAACCCCCTAGTGGAGGTCATGACCCCTTCTTGTGGGAGGGCATGTCTTCCAAGACCTTGCCAATAATGTATAATCTTATATATTTTACTTCTTTTTTTCCTCTAGGGATCAATTAACATTTGCTGAAATAAACTGCTATGGCCCGGGGTCTAACACCTCAAAGAGAGTTGCATGGGAGGCACAATTGAGCCAAGAAATGACGGACTACTTTGTCAACATCACCAACTTCATTGACGTTGATCAGTGGATTAGCAAGCAACCTCTTTAATTATAATGGTTTAGTAATAAGCCAAGTACGTATTTGGTATTTAATTTGTTTTACTTTTTACTCTTTTGTGCTAATGGTCCAATCGAGTAAAAGTTTAGATGGGTTTATAAATTATAAAGTTGTAAACTTTTTCAAAAAATATGTTTTGTGTAAATTTTAGTAAATTTATTTCACAATAATACATTACATAAGTTTTACGATTGTATTAATGTTTGTTTAAATTAGGAAAAATGACATTTTTTCCCCCTGTGTTATATACCTATAGCATTTTTTCTCCCTAAATTATTGAAGTGGCTGTTTTTCCCCCTGAAATGTTAAATGGGCATATTTACCCTTAAACTAAATATTTAATTTATTTTTTTTCTCTAACAAATTATGACCATAATTTGGTTCAAACCAAACAAACACTATAGCAACCAAACCGAAATATTCCAATCACAATTTAGAATCGAAATTCGATATTTAGAGTTTATTAAAATCGTGAACCTGAACGGACGATTCATGTTCCAAACTGAAAAAATAAAATACATTTATTGTTGAATTTATACTATTTTAAAATAAAAAATAAGATTTAAAATAAAGACGGTTCAAAATCGCGAATCGGATCCGGAACCGCCGATTCACGGTTCAAGATTCAATTTTTTTGATACATAATTTTAATAAATTGACATTTAAATATTGGGTTCTAGATTTGAATTATAACCGAAAACTATTAATTCGATTGTTTTAGTATCCGGTTCAATTCAAATCGATCCGTGGTCATCCCTACGTATACGCAATAATTTGTTGGAGTAGTAAAATAAATAAAGTGTTTACTTTAAGGGTATAAATGTCAATTTAATATATCAGGGGGAAAAAGCATCACTTTTAGAATAATTGAGGGGGCTAATGTACTTACCTAAATAATTGAGGAGGAAAAAGTGCTATAAGTATATAACTCAGGGGCAAAAAATGTCATTTTTCCTTTAAATTATCTATACTATTTTATTATCTAATTGTTAAAATTTTAATTAGTTTTTAATTAAATGTAGTTTAGAAAAGAAATTGCGGGGGCACCATGGCCCGCAGCTCTTGATGGGGAATGGTGAGCTAGCAATTTCGGCAAATTATATTATGGACCGCGGTCTACAATGTATTGTAGTTCAGGCATCAAAACGACGTCGTTTTGTTTAATGAAAAGAAATGGCACCTGTTTTGCGCCGTTCTGCAAAAAGTAATTTTGTTATTCAGTTTCATTTTGTATACACTGTAGTTTCATTTCAACACAGCGATAATTTCATTTCGATATAACTACAGCTTCATTTGATATTATACACTCAAATATGTGAAAATGTTATTTAGTTTCATTTTATATAGACTACAGTTTCATTAAAACACAACTACATTATCATTTCGATATAACTACAGGTTCATTGCAGAATATACACTCAAATATATGAAATGTTATTCAGTTTCATTTTATATATACTGCAGTTTCATTTCAATACAACTACAGTATCATTCTGATGTAACTACAGTTTCGCTGGACAATATTCACTCAAATATGTGAAATTGTTATTCAGTTTCATTTTGTATACACTGCAGTTTCATTTCAATACAACTACAGTTTCATTTCAATTCAATTGTAGTTTCGTTTGATAATACAAAAATAATACGTGAAGCAGTGTCAGTTTAGATACACTGTAGTTTCAGTTGGTAATTAACGCACTAAAAATGCGTGTTCCGTTAATGTAACGGCGCTGTTTTTAGACCGCGGTCCATAGTATAATTGCTGAGCAATTTCCAGGTCGGCCTCACCACAATGGCAGGCTTTGATGGGCTAGTCGTACCAACCCACTTTGACAATACTATCTGAGCAGGCAAATTATATCGTGCATCAGGGCACACAATGCATTGTGCGCTCTGGCCCAAAACGACGTCGTTTTGTATTTTTTTTTGTTTTTGGAAATTTCATTTGTGTCTGATGTTAATTTCTTTTAAAAAAAAAAATTCTCATGTTTTGAATGTACATAATTGTATAATAGAATGTACATAATTGTTTATAACAGAATACACATACACTTTTCTGAAAGAATAATACACATAATCTAACATAATACATAATACACATATACTCTTAACATAATACACATAAACTTTTAACATAATACACATAAACTCTTAACTCTTAAAAAAATCTACTGTTTCGAATATACATAATTGTATAATAGAATGTACATAATTGTTTAACAGAATACGCATACACTCCGTCGCATCAACTCCCCCACACAACTTAACAAAATGATATTATTTTGAGAGGGCGGGACGCACAATGCATTGTGCGCCCTAGTGCATGATATAACGATTGATCTGAGCATTAACATAAACAAATATCATTTTCGATCCAAATGAAAAGGAAAAAAAAAAAAAAAAAACAAACTATTAGAAGGATTATAATGTAAATCTTTGGTCCAACATAGAAGGAAAGGTGAAGTAATATAATGATACGTAAAAAATTGAACCTTGTAGATAAAATTGAAGTAGAAAATATAATCTTTTTTTTTTTTTTAGGATTTATGTAGCGTTTACTTATACATTTGTTCTCTATTTCTTATTTTTTAATTAATAAAATGAAAAATTGATGCAGTGCGGGGAGTTCCTACTTTGATCTTATTATAGATGGCATTAAAAAATATTGCAGACTCTGTACATGGGTTGCAATTTTGCTTTGTTAAACGTTCAGCGAACCAGACCGCTCATATGTTAGCTCGAAAATCTAGTTCTGTGACTGATCGTGTCGTATGATTTAATTGTCCTCCTTTATTTCTTCTAAGCAGTTTGGATTATGATAATGAAGTCTGACTTGGTTGTGGTGTCAAAAAAAAAAAAATGAAAAATTGATACGCTCATAAGAATAGGATAGTTAATTGTATAAAGTATTGTATTATTAGAATTAGATGAACATTATAATAGAAGTTATTATATTATTAGAATTAGAAAAATAATAGAATATGAATTATCATTAGGATTAGTAGAACAATAGAATTAGTTAGACTTTAGGAATACAATATTATACAGAGTAACTAATACGCTTCATGTATTGTGAAAGAACAATCAGAACAATAATACACAATCTTTTTATACATACATTTTACTCTATATTTTCTTCCTCAATTCTTTATCGGAGTTAGCACTCGCTCGAAGTAGTGTCTATTTGATGCCGAATTATATCAATTAGTACTTTCATTGAGTTTTAATGGTAAATTAAATAATTGTGTTGCAAAATTAATTGCTCCCAAAACAAGAAATTGGAGGACTGCCTTGATAGGTTTCACAAATCAATTTCTTGGATTATTTTGGTTTTTGTTATTATGGATAAACTGCCCTATATTAAACATATGAAGCATACATTTCAACGACTTGCCAATTCATTAGTGAAATTGAAATCGTTGATAATATCGCAGTATTATTTCACACCTATATATAGATTTGTAGACACGTAGAATTTAATTTATTAATGACTGACCCCAACAAATTCACACCGAAGGTGTCTTCAAAAAGTAGCTAGAACTTCTACGATTAGATGGTAAATTAAAGATTCTTATGGATGGGCTTCCCTAACTCAAAGATATTTTGATTTCCATGACATTCCGGATGCACAACGAGAACAACTCATACCTTTTAACATGGATAAAAAGGCATATAAATTGTATAAAGGATTAAAAATTAGAGCTATCAAAGCGGATTAATGGGGTCATCAAAGCCCACCCCTATAGCTGGACAGGCTAAAAAGCCCACCAATTAACCTAACCCCTCCCCTCCTTAGGCCCACGGGTTTAGGCGGATACCCGCCAATATCAATCGTTATGTTGTGCATTTGTATGCACCGTGCATGGTGCATACGGATGCAAAAACGACGTCGTTTTGACGTCTAACTTAAAAAAAAAAAAAAAATTGCATAACTACACATCCATAATTTCATAACTATACATCCAGAATTACAGAACTACACATCCATAATTTCATAACTATAAATCCAAAATTACATAACTACACATCCATAACTTCATAAATACATCCAGAATTGCATAACTATACATCCATAACTTCATAACTATAAAATCCAGAATTGCATAACTACACCATGCATAATTACACATCCATAATTTCATAACTAAAAATCCAGAATGAATGAACTAAAAAATGAACAACATAATGTTGTTGTTGGGAATCGAAACTGATTTTTTTTTTAAATAGGACGCGCGTTTTGATGCAAATATTATTTAAACATTTATATTTTATATTACTTAGAAACAAAAAAAAAAATTCCTCAAAAAAAAAAGAAACAAAAAAAAAATGAAGAGAGGGACTCAAGTTAGGGAAGAGCGGAATAGGCGTTAGATTGTAAGAATGTTAGTGCCCGTTTGGTTGGCGGAAAATATTTTAAGAAAAATGAAATTTCAATTCATTTTATGGAAAAGAAATTACTAGGAAGATAAATTTTATTGTTTGGTTGGTGGAAAAAAATTATTGGAAATACTATTTTATTGTTTGGTTAGATTTGGCATGGAATTGTAAGGAATAACAAATATAAAGATATATATGCCCCTGGAAATTAATAAGAGTAATATAATTAAGAAAGAAAAACAATGGTAAAATAGTTTTTCCATATCATTTTTACTTCTCATCTTCTATGGAAAACAAAATCCCACGTCCAATCAAGGATTTTGTTTTCCTCAAATTTGAAGAATTCTTCAATGAACCAAACATAAAAAATAATAATTAAAAAAAAAAAAACACTACATTTCTCTCCACTGTAAGGAAAAACTTTTCTATCCAACCAAACATCCCCTAGGATTAAAAAATGTAGGGGGAATTAGGGAAAAGAAAAGGGGCGGAGGGAGGGGTAATGTTTTTTTTTTAATAAATTAGGCGGGTTGGTGGGCTAGCTCGCGGCCCGCCCCGTAAGCAGGGCCGGAAGTTCTAGCCCAACGAGCTAATCCTGTTTTGATAACTCTATTAAAATTTATTTGGTACATCCGCACATGGTCATAATTACTTGAAAATATTAAGTTGCAATTTAGTTATTGTCTAACTAATCAATTGCACTATTGCAGGTTACTAACATAATGTTGGAAGAAACTCAAATATCAAACTGATACAAGTGATATGCAAATAGAAGCAAACGATTTAGAACCTATGGAGCAACCAATTATTGAGCAGTTAACGAATCTTGATATTTCACCCTTTGCTAATGAATCGATAAATCTTGGTACTCCATCAATTATTGAAGAACGGACAAATACTAAAAATTGCTGATACTCCATCAATTATTGAAGAAGTGACAAATGCTGATATTCCACTAGCTATTGATGAGCTAGTAGAAGTTTTGTGAAGATTTTGACAGTTTCTAACAACAGTTTTGAGCAACAAAGTGAGGATGAAGTATTAAACATGATTGTCAAGCCTTTGTAATGGTATCAAAAATTAGATTTTACATTCCTCGAGCATTTGGATGAAGATGACACTCTCAGTGCAGAAATTGTTACAAAAATGTCCAAGACGAGACTTTATGTGACAATGCAAACAAAAATATGCAAGTTATTTTTTGGTGAATGAGAAATTAATTATCAAAGTAAATCTATTTGAGACTGTGTTGTTTTGTGGTTAAGCTTAATTAGTCTAAGCTTGCAATTAGCACCATTAAACTTAATTAGCCTAAGCTTGTATTTAGCACCATTATGGTGCTTAGAGTAATTAAGCACCAATAGGTGCGTATTTAGCACTGAAGTGCTCCTCTCGGAAGGAATTGTTTAGAAAAGTGCTACATGCTATCATTGTTATGCACGTCCACACTAAGATGCAAGAAAGTGACAAATAACTGTCCACCATTTTCATGTGATTAATATGTTTTTTTTTTTTTTTCATTTGTTTTTTATTGTGTTGGTGATGTGAAAGGAGAAAAGAAGAGTAGCATTGTGGATGCTCTTATCACTATGGTGGTTGGGCAAATGAATGGATAGGTCCTCATTGAATTGTAAGGACAATTGACCTAAAGATTTAAGGCTGCTTCATACTCAAAGTTAAAGATCGAATCCTTGAAAATGGTTTCTTTGTCTTTAATGATAACTGTCGATTTTGTCTTGTAGTGACCCTTTTTAAAGAGATGAGACATCCAATTAAGGAGAGTTATCTATTGACCTATAGCCGATTTGGTTTCTTTGTCTTTAATGATAACTGTCTATTTTGTCTTATAATGACCCTTTTAAAAGAAATGAGACACTCAATTAAGGAGTTATCTATTGACCTATACCCAATTTGGTTTCTTTGTCTTTAATAATAACTATCTATTTTGTCTTATAGTGACCCTTTTAAAATAGATGAGACATCCAATTAAGGAGTTAGCTATTAACGTATACCCAATTTTGAGTGATACATGAACTGTGATTTAGTTCCATTCTTCATAGGTTATATAATAACCTCATCAAGTCAAACCTAATTAGCTCATAAAATGGACCAAGCTAGCTCAACACAATCTATTTGCCACCTCTATCATCAGTCCAAGGGGCAAATTTACCTCTTGAAGCAACTACATGCCTACATGGGAAGATTTTGGTCAAAGTCACAATTTCATAGTTCCTTTTTAGGTAAGCTTTGGTCAATGTCATGAATGAATGGATAGTTCAAATTCAGCTATAAGAAGCTGTATTTTTTTTTTTTTTTTTTTTTTTTTTTGTTAAACCACAAGGTGTCCTGAGTAAATCCTAACTATAAGAAACAACTTTAAACCCATATCATACTCAAACTAATCCTTGTTTAAACCGGACTATAACAAACTGTTGATAGTAGAAACAGAAACCTATAACACCAATAAGTTGATTAAAAAGGTTCATTAGTGCCCCCTAAATAAAAGTTCAAACAAGCTCTCATTAATCAGAAACCTATTAACACCAATAAGTTCATTAAAAATGTTCATTATGTGCCCCCTAAATAAAAGTTGAAACAATCTCTCATTAATCAGCACAGATATGATAAATGATGGAAGAGTAAAGTGTTATGTTTTTAGAATGAAAGGAAACTTAAATACTGCCACTATTTGAGAATCAATGAAAAGGGAAGGGAAATCTATAGCTTGACATCAGTAAAAATTCTCGTTTTATGAAAATGGAAATCTGCAGTGTTTCAGCCTCCGGATGCAGTTAGGATGGCTCTGTTGCTACTCCGATTGTCTAGTGCTCCTTTGTGCCGCGGCCCCGGCCCCGGGTAGTAAGCTCGAAAGGGTGGGAACTCCTTGGCTTCTCATTTCCTCTTGTGCACGTCTGATTTCTTCGGGATCTGCCCAAGATAGATAAAATCGAGTGTTAGCATAAACACTGTACCAGGATTCATAAAGATGAGTTCGCGAATGAATCAATTGTCACTACCATGATGTCTTTCTTGAAAACAATTGTCGCTATACTAAGATGCCTTCTTGAAATCGAAGGGAAAAAGATATAAATCACATATGAAGTGCAGTTCATGTATCTTTAGTGTTTCTAATGGATTCATCCTACATGACTGGAGAAATCCCGATTTACCAATCCAATTCTATCACTAACATGGTTCAATCTCACAGAATCTTTCACAATCGATAATTGTGTTGCTTATTAAAAGGGAATGAAGATTACAGTTATCAATACAATATAGGTTTTACTATTTACTCCATGCCAATTACCAACCCATATCTCTCTCCACAAAGAAGTGTGAAACCAGCATTCTTGAGAAACCCGACTTTTTTTTTAGTACTACTGACTCTGTTACGATGCAGTATCTGTTCATAACTACTTTTTCAACCTATTGAAGCACAAAGAGTCAATATCGCCTCCACTGAGGCTCGAACCCACAACCTCCCATATGGGAGAGCAAATTGGTGCCACTAGACCACAAGGTCATTGGCATCCTAACTTTGAAAATGCTAATGAACTTTTATATGACATCCTTACCCATATTTTCAACCAATTTAGGCATTACAAACACCACAAGCAGCATGAAGCCAACCATCAAACCCATGGGGCTTTTTACTATAGACATTACGGAGAACGGTTCCCTAATCTGCAAGGGAAAGAAAAATACATCACATTTTAAAGAATATAAAAGGAAATGAGTGGGATAACGGGATTGAAGTCAAAGTCAATCTGACCTCATAGTACTGCTCCTCCCTCAATGGTTCCAACACTAGTTCAGTTAAACTCCTTCTATTCTCCGTCAGTGCTGCTTGAACCTTACCTGGGTTTCTGGCACTCACATCAACTCGGACCTGAGGACCAGATAGTGGTAAGAAGCATATAAATCTGTGTAGATAATTAATTGTACGAGTGATGTGGGTAAGAAGCTCACTGGGGAGAAGAAATAGCCTATTGCATCCACTTCAATCAGATGCGTCCCAGCTGGCACGTTATGGCTTTAAGCACATGGGGTTAAGGAATTACAATAAAAAACGTAGAAAACCCTATTGAATCTCATAGGAAGACAGGATGCACAAATGACAAGTCAGAGGATTAGCTTAACACATTAAAACATAAGTCACAGGATACAATGAAAAATATCCATCAGGTCTCAGAAAAGTAACTCTTTGGCCACCATTGAGTAACACCTTGACGTCTGAAGCCTTAGCCAGCAGACCAGATCCTTTCAAGTTAAAGCCTATACACATTATAACAAAAGAAGGTATTTTTAACACCCATTGTACAGAATTGAAATAACATGTAACACATATTTGTTAAATCTATGTAACACCAGAAGATGAATAGCATCAGTTCCCCTCTAAAAAGGGAAGTGTCTGAAATTTTTAAACACACAGACACACAAAAGAAGAGGAGGAAGAAGAAAGTCAACCACTCAACCATATTGGAACATATAGCAAGTCAGCATTACATATTATATTACATCACCAAGAATTAGCAAATATGGAGTACGTAAGTGACAGACTACAAAATCCAAAGTCCTTCAAGTCACTATATAAAAAGTTTTGGCTAGGCTTAGCATGCCTTCTCAGCCAATAGTTTAACTCAGAAAGTCACTACATAGCTTAAGATTTTTCAATTTTCAGGCTGCCAGTGGCCAGCAAAATAAGATATATCTATGTGTGTGTGTGAGTGTTATAATACAGATCCACAGTCCAAACCAATTAGCAGGCCCAAAAAACTGGGAGTTTTCGCATTTGATCAATATTCCCCTTGAATAACATCATATGTTTATAATGTTAACAGTAAGCTTTTTACACACAACGAAAATAGAAAAGAGACTGATAATAAAGCTTAAAGAAGTGGCAACTCCCCCAAACTACAAAAATAAAAAAGTTTAGATATAAAATAGTGGAAATTTCACAAATTGATTAATGCTCTCACAGACTAAACTTAGCATTTCACTTTGTTTATGATCCCAAGGTTCTTATAAGTTTCACAGGCTTGTGGAAATTAAAAGAAAAATGAAAGGAAAGAAATAGTGAAGCACAGAAGGTACATGTTACTACCCATTTCCTTTTAACCAACCAAGATAATTTGATTCTTCTCCTTTCCTTTCCTCACTTTCTAAACCAAGATAGTTTGGTTACTTTTATCCTAAGGAATATTTCCATTTCGATATTAATTATTGTTTTAAATGAAACCAATCAGCAATTAAAGAGAGAAATCAATTCTCATTCACAGATCTATTCCTTTTTTACTGAAACAGATGGATACTGCACCATATAATTAAACATATGAAAGCGAGAGAAACCGCTAAGGTTAAGATCCTCCAATGAAAATTAAGCAACTTTGTATTTTAGTCCAAAAGATGATTAATTCTTGTTCTCTGTTTGAGTGTTTTAGTGATTAATCCTTTCTACGTTTGTGAACCAAAAGAAACAATGTATTATTATTAACACAGCGAAAAAGAGAAACCTCAGATGAATCCACTAATGAAAGAGAAGCAACATTGTATTAGTTACACAAATTTGCCATCTTTAGCCCAATAGATAGATGGTCAAAGTACCACATCAATAAAAGGTGATATTTGACCCCAACCAAACATAAATCATCTTGGACACTGAGTCGGAAATACTCAGAACAATTTAGCAGTCTTTCTAACTAAATACAATAAGTGATAGTTAAGACTATAAAACAATACATAATATGACACTTTTCAGCTTCCAAAGATGCAAAAACTAATAACAGATCATCTTCAACAAGCATCTTCTCCATGACATTTTTCTGTTTGAACATTTTCATTCAAGCCTTATTCTTTGCTAAAAATATCATCAACCATTAGAATACAGCATGGTCTCTTCTAAAATTCATGCTTAAGTGATGAAACCTCATAAACCCCTAATAAATTACAAAGAACTAGAGGTAGGTATGAATGCTACCTGCATAATTTGACCCTAAAATATATTTTCACATAAGAACTAAACTGCATCTCATACAAATAACGTGGCAATATGTTCATTGGCATCAATAAAGATAAGGGATAATCAACAAAGTATCCTTTGTAGTTGAAAACAAGAGTGGAAGACAAATATCAACAAAAATTACATTCGGACCTGGTAATTTCACACGTCCGTTTATAGTATACCCATCGCTGTTCCTGCCCATAATAATAAATACATCAAATCAACAAAGAACTGGAAAAGTGATGAATTTCAAACGATATTAGGAAAAATTAAAACCTTTAGATCTTAACTTTACACATTCAGGAACTAAAGATCACTAAGTTTCGACTCTTTATCAGTAATTTATTAGCACCCAAATAGAGAAATCTTCAAAGTGAGGAGTATAAATTAAAATAATTTAATAAAATGTAGGCCTTGAAAGAAAGCATACCCGGAAGCAACGGCGAGAGACCAGAAGCAGAGTTGGAGAAGAAAGAGTAGTGGGAAAAAGATCGGCCAAGTCATAGCGATTTGCTATTGTGAGTATAGATTACAACGAAAGAAACTGAAAAAGCGATTTGAAAATCCGATCAAAACGAGGGAAGGAATTTCTCCTCGCGAGGGAGTCGGCACTGGTATGGCGTCGGAAACCCACAAAACGATAATTTACAAAAATAACGAATTAATCTCAAAAATGGTCTTATGATAATTTTATTTTTCCACTTTATTATTTTGCTTTAAAAAATTGACCAATATAATTCAGTGCAAATTTTCAAGGAGAGTAGTGGGATCTGCTCTGACTGCCTTTTAAAGATGGAGAAAGGCAGAGAGCTGTGCTTATGAAATTTTTAGTTAGGGTTTGAGGACTGAATTCTTAATTTTGCTCTCATTTTAACGAGAAGTTAATTCTATTTTTAGTCCTAGATTTATAGGTGACAATTCATTTTTAGTCTTAGATTTATCAAAACATCCATTTTTGGTCTTAGTATTATTGTGACATGACCAATTTTGGTTCTCTATCAACAAAATCGTTGAAATTTTTATTAAATTGAAGGACATTTTGATATTTTTAATACAAAGTGTGTCGACCCGTTATATTTTTTATGTTTATTTTTAACATAAAGTGTGTCCTTCAATTTAACAAAATTTCAACAATTTTGTTGATAGATGATCAAAATTGGTCATGTCACAATAATACTAGGACCAAAAATGGATGCTTTGATAAATCTATGACTAAAAGTGGACTGTCAGCTATAAATCTAGGACAAAAAATATAATTAACTCTTTTAATGAGTGTTAAAATGCTTTTCTGTTACAATTTTAAACGGAAGATACATGTTCGAATCTTATTTCAATCATTTTATAAAAATAGGTTAGATTGTAATTGCAAAAATATTTGAAAGACCATTTTCAGAACAAAAATAATTGTTGAGAAATGAAAAATATATCAATCCATTTTTTAAGCAAATGATCAAAGTGAAAATAGTTATTATACGTTGAGGTGTCAAAGAAAGTTGACGCCAACGAGTTAGTTCTAAACCACCCCGTGGTGGTTCAGGTTAGGGGCTAAAAAATTTAACCAGTAAAAGTTGGGCCTTGAGGGCTTGGTTTGCGCAAATTCGCGAGCTATACGCGTTAACCTGCACAGGCTGCGGGCTATATGTGTGTGTGTGCGCGCACGTGTGCGTGTGCGTGTGCCTATGTATACATATAATACTAATCATTAGACAAAATATAAAAATTAAAAAAAAAAAATTTTAAACACGGAAGAATCTAATATTATTTATGTTAAATTATTAAAATATAAAATAATACTTTTTTTTTTTTGAATGTAAATATAAAATAATACTAGGTAGGCTAAGATTGAAGAATTCTAGCCTCGGGCTTCACAGCCCAGCCTACAAGGGTCTACAAAAATTTTAACTAGTCTAATGAGGTGGAGCAGCTTATTATTTTAGAAAAAAATTTCAGATCACTTTGTTATAGGAGTATATGTTCATAATTTTATCACTATATGTTCATAATTGTAAGTTCATAATGTCAGAGCTCTGTGTTCATAATTGCATAACTGTACATTCATAATTGCATAACTGTACATTCATAATTCCATAACTGTACATTATAATTCAATAACTGTAAATTCATAATTTTCGAAACTCTATGTTCACAATTTTAGAGCTCTATGTTCATAATTTTATCACTATATGTTCATAATTGTAAATTCATAATATCAGAGCTATGTGTTTATAATTCCATAACTTACATTCATAATTCCATAACTGTACATTCATAATTGCATAACTGTACATTCATAATTGTATAACTGTACATTCATAATTCCGTAATTGTACATTCATAATTCAATAACTATAAAATCATAATTTTCGAAGCTCCATGTTCACAATTTTAGAGCTCTATGTTCATAATTTTATCACTATATGTTCATAATTGTAAGTTTCTGTGTTCATAATTTTATAATTTACATTCATAATTCCATAACTGTACATTCATAATTCCATAACTGTACATTCATAATGGCACAAACGAATAACGTCGTTAACGGCGAGACGAAAAAAAAAAAAAAAACTGGAATGACGCGTTTTCCCTTAAAACGACGTCGTTTTGGACACGTGTCCATAATGCATTGTGGACACGGGTCCAGGGCATAATTTGTATTGACACCCCTAGAATTATACGGTGGACCATGATCCACACAGCATTGTGTGAACCATGGTCCAATATGATGCCTTTTTTTTTTTTCTTTTTTTTTTTTTTCCGTTGTTTGTCATTACCATGAACCAATTGCAAATCATGTTACAAATATGTATATTATCAAATGAAATTATAGTATAATTAAAATGATACTTTAGTGTTCTTATAATGAAACTAGTGTATGTTAAAAATAACACTAAAAATAGAGCTAATGTAATTACGTATATTGTCAAAATAAATCTAAAGTGTAATTAAAATGATATTTTAACTTTACTATAATGAAACTAATATGTAGAAAATGAAACTAAAAAATATAGCTCATACAATAACATATATTATCAAATGAACCTAAAGTGTAATTAAAATGATACTTCAACATTACAATAACAGTATGTTTGGTTCATGGAATAGGTCATGAATGAATTACCATACACAGAAATAGACATATTCCATTGTTTGTCTTAGTCATTTATTCTTGGAAATAACATTTCTAAGAATGAGTTATTCTATTTCTAGGGGGACTGGTATTAACTATTTTCAAGCACTCAGAACTAGCTTTTTTTATTATAATACTAAAAATACCCTTTACTATGCATGCTTTTATATATATAGGAACATCTACGGGACCCTAAGCTAGAGCACACGGTGCTGGATTTTCAAAATTAGAAACAAGTCAAAAAACATTAATTATGGTATTAAAGACCTTATGGCCCAATGGTACCAAGTTGAACTCTTGCATGGGAAGTTATGGGCTCGAGTTTTAATAGGGGCACTATTGACTCTCTTACCTTTATGGGCTGTTTGGTGGGTCTATTCCTAGCCCCTATTGACTCTCTTACCTTTATGGGCTGCTTGGTGGGTCTATTCCTATGTTTGGTGGGAATGACCTATAGGGGCCCCCTGTTACCTAAAGTTTCTATTTCCTATTTTACCCCCCAATTAAATTTATTTCCTATTTTTTCACCGTCGTCACCGCCATCACCATCGCCACCATCACATATTTTTATGACGGTATTTATGTCTTTTAAAATATATTTCATTTCTATTCCTTAAATCAACCAAACACTATAATATAATTCCTAAAGTCTATTCCTTCCGCGAACCAAACAACAGAATACAATTCCTATTCTATTCCTTGCATATTCCATTCCTTATGGAATAACATTCCTATTACCTGAAAATTCATTTCGTAAACCAAACGTGTTGTTAGTACTTTGAGAAAGTAGTTATGAACACATAACCACGCTATGCACAAGTTCCCATAAAATTTGTTATTCCTCATACATGTAATCGTAATCCAAAATTAGAAATGCACATTATCCTTGTATCTCCATCTAAAAAAAAAAAAAAAAAAAAAAAAAAAAAAAGAATCTACACCAAATTTCACATAAGAATAAATATTCTTACACCAATTTGGATTCATCTCCAACCTATTACACTAAATTTTATACCAAATGTTATTCTACACTAAAATAATTTTGATTTTCAAAATTTAAAAAGTTATTAGTTTAATATACAATATAATTTGTGACATAAATAATAATATTTTAGTACAATTTAATTTTATTAAAATTATGATTTAGGTATTTTAATTTCTAATTAATATATATTCAATCTTAGTCTTATTTTAATCGTCTTAATAAAATCTTTCAAATGGTATAATCTATACTATATACAAAAATAAAATCCTCCATTTTAACTTCTCGCCCAAAACAGTCCTATACTATTAAGATTGCGTAATATTATAAAATAGTGATTTGCGTAATATTATAAAATAGTGCAATACAATTCTTAATAGAATATATTGTTTCATGCTTTCCTATTCGTACTACAATTACCTTAAAATTCATATTCTTACCCTAAAGGTTGAATCCCCGACCTTAAGGGCCCCCACACTCCGACCCGAATAAAATTCATATTCTAATATTATAAAATAGTGTAATACAATTCCTAATATAATATATTTTTTCATACTTTCCTTGTACTACAATTCTACGTTACAATTCCTATCCGTAATACAATACAACAATATTAAAATTCATATTTCTATTCAACAATATTATATTATTCAATTTCCCGTTAAAAATTATATTCTCCATTATTAGTTTTAGAATTTTCTGTTAATTCTATGTTAAATTTACTAAATTTCAAACTCTCATTAAAACTCAACTACCTGGCTGAATTATTAAGATTTAAATAAAAAAAAAATCCTTAAAAACATGCATGCTTAATTCCCTAGCCTGTAACTTGGAGCTTGGCTTTTCAATCATGTAAAATTTATATTCTCACGTTTTTCTTTATCAAACAAGCCTTTATCTGCGGGTGTAATAAAAAGACTTGCAACGAATAAGAAATTTTTTTGGGTTCGTTAGAGTGGTATTTTCATCTTCCACTGAAAATCAATCATTCCTAAAGATGCTCCATTCAGGAACCATACTGGCGGTAGCTTTATATTGTCAATTGCTGCCGGAGATTATCCATCACTTCACTGTTCTCACTGTATTTGCGTAAATTGAAAGAGAAAACGCAAAAATGAACGTTCACAACAGATTATTCAAAGGATTAAATCCTTGCTGCATGGAGTGTATGGTTGCATATTCACCACGTGGTTAATTGCGCACCCACAACAAATACATACATACATACATACATACATACATACATACATACATACATACATATATATATATATATATATATATATATATATATATATATATATATATATATATATATATATATATATATATATATATTCAACTCATTGTGGGGTGGCAACATATGTAATAATGTGCGTGTATGTTGTAAACATCACTTCAACATACAATAGTTGAGACGTTAGTGGTTTAGTACATGACAGCTGTAGACGGTAGACGTTAGTGGCTTACTCCTTGAGACACTAAAAAGATAAAAAGCAACCAAGTGGCTTGTAGTCCACTGGTATCCGATTGCTCCCTCATGTGGGATGTCTAGGGTAGCCGGATACTGGCAACACTGCATACCCCTGAGCCGGTGACTGGTGGCGTGGGTCCCTGAGCCAACACTCTCAACAGTAAAGAATCAACTTCCCCTGAGCCGGCGACTTGCAACACTGCATACCCCCAGAGCCAATGACTGTTGGTGTGGGTCCCCTGAGCCGGTGACTGGTGGCGTGGGTCCGGCGACTGACAACACTGCATACCCCTGAGCCGAGCCGGTACTCTGAGCCGGTGACTGGTGGCTACTCTGAGCCGGTGACTGGTGGCGCGGGTCCCCTGAGCCGGCGACTGGCAACACTGCATACCCTTGAGCCGGTACTTTATAGTAAAGAATCAACTGTAGCGGGCGACTGGCAACACTGCATACCCCTGAGCCGGTACTTTATAGTAAAGAATCAACTGCAGTCGGCGACTGGCAACACTGCATACCCCTGAGCTAGTAAAGAATCAACTGCATATGACTGGTGGCGTGGGTCCCCTGAGCCACATACCCCCTGAGCCGATGACTGTTGGCGTGGGTCCCCTAAGCCGGCGACTGGCAACACTGCATACCCATCCCTGAGCCGAGCCGGTACTCTGAGCAGGTGACTGGTGGCGTGGGTCCCCTGAGTTGGCGACGGGCAACACTGCATACCCCCTGAGCCGATGACTGTTGGCGTGGGTCTCCTGAGTCGGCGACTGGCAACACTGCATACCCCTGAGCAACACTGCATACCCCACCCCTGAGCCGAGCCGGTACTCTGAGCAGGTGACTGGTGGCGTGGGTCCCCTGAGTTGGCGACTGGCAATACTGCATACCCCTGAGCCGATGACTGTTGGCGTGGGTCCCCTGAGTCGGCGACTGGCAACACTGCATACCCCACCCCTGAGCCGAGCCAGTACTCTGAGCCGGTGACTGGTGGCGTGGGTCCCCTGAGTCGGCGACTGGCAACACTGCATACCCCCTGAGCCGATGACTGTTGGCGTGGGTCCCTGAGTCGGCGACTGGCAACACTGCATACCCCTGAGCCGGTACTTTATAGTAAAGAATCAACTGCAGTCGGCGACTGGCAACACTGCATACCCCTGAGCCGGTACTTTATAGTAAAGAATCAACTGCATATGACTGGTGGCGTGGGTCCCCTGAGCCGCATACCCCCTGAGCCAATGACGGTTGGCGTGGGTCCCCTGAGCCGGCGACTGGCAACACTGCATACCCCTGAGCCGGTACTTTATAGTAAAAATCAACTGACTGGTGGCGTGGTCCCCTGAGCCGGCGACTGGCAACACTGCATACACGCCTGTGACTGGTGGCGTCAGGTCTGGCATGGGGTGTCGCCGTGTCCTGTTTCTGACTATTGACTTCTTAGTTTCTCGGCCAATCTTAGTTTCTGGGCAGTAAGTTCCTGTGAAGAAGCTCCGCGCTTGGCCTTCTTCATACTTGGGACTAGAAGATCCTGATCTTACGACTTAGGACTAGAAGATCCTGATCTTCCGATGACGGTTGAGCGACGGCTGGCGTTTAGTTTTCAGGTTTTCCTCAATTTCCATATTCTGTTTGCATTCATTAAGTGCTATTATTTGTTATTTTCGTTAGCATATTGAATTGATTGTTGGAGTAGTACAATTTTGCAGTACTTTTGATGCATCACATCATGCCTCATATTGGCTATATTTGTTTTAAAATCTGATCAGATCCATCCCATATTTTTTTTCATTTTGTATAATTGACAATTTTGTACTCTTGATGCATTAGCGCATGCCTCATATTGGCTACATGTCACAGACTCGTTTTCTTAAATGTCACGAACTCGTTCTCTCGGAAGTGGTGCTAAGTGAACGATGGATGGCTAGAAAAGTGAGTATGGCAAGAATCTCGCAAAAGCACATGAAAGCTTTGTAAGAAACTTGAATTGCTTGAACTCTTAGATGGTTACACATGAGGCCCCTTGAGGTGTATTTATACCATTCCACCTTCTTGATGGATAGTGAAAATCTACTTAATCCTATGGCTAGGATTTACTCTCTAGAATCCTTCCAAATTATCTATACAAACTTGAGATTTCTCTAAGGTTGTAGAATGTTCTAAGCATCTCTAGAATCTCTAGCTAGTTGCTATGTACATGACTATTCTACAAACTATTAAATGCTATATACAAATGCTAGAAAGGTCTAGAGCGATGTAGCAAACCCCATAAATGCGTAGCAAAGTTCCATATGCATTACATACTATACAGCCCACAAATCTTGATACTATTCTGTCTGGCTAATGAGCAACCCCACCACATATTTCATGACCTTTTAATGATAAAAAGCATGACTGGTGCATCTATGAAAATTAAACATGGTAATAGGTCCACCTTTTTCAATGATCATCGATCATCTTAAGAATCGTACTGGCCAGGCCCCTAAGAGAGATCCCCAGCCTTGCAGAAACCCTTCACTAGTGAATTGTAAGTAGATATAGATGGACTAATGTTTTCCTTTCTCATCATCTCCACCCAAATTATAGCCCTTCAGCCTTAGCTTCTTCAGCTTTCTAGACCGTACCAGAACCATCCATTCAGCAAAATATTAACCCTGTTTGGTAAATGGCTATTAGCTGATAGCTATTAGCTATTAACTGATTGGGTTAATTAGATGATATAACTAGTTGATAACATTAGCTGATTGTAAAAATGTGTTTGATAAATTAGCTGTTAGCTGATAGCTATTTGGTATAATTTCTTTTTTCAAAAGTTAATTAAAAAAGTTGTTTTGAGTAGCTTTTTAATTTTAGCATTTTGGTGTACAAAAAGTTAATAACCAAACACTTATATTAATTTTTAAACTAAATCAAACAATTAATAATTGTCAAATAAGTCAAAATTGACCTATAAACTAATTATTTTACCAAAGCGGGCCATTATAAATTCTTTTAGATGGATCCCAACTGGGGTCTCGACCCTTTTGCCTCTCAAAGTATATATTCTGAAGCTACCCTAACATTCCCTTCTTTGCACAAAGAATCTAATAGGATCTCAAATAATGCGTTTGCTGATCGAATCAATCAAGAGTTGATGACAATTCAAATGTTCTAATGGCTGCTGAGTATATATATAAATGTCTTCATTATTGAAAGCAATACACATTTATATCAGTTTTTATATATGATTAAAAAAAATTCAAGTGCACTTAGATATGGACACGTAACACACTGGATGGGTCTCAACTCCTTCTTGGGCGACCGTTCGCATGAAAGTGCGCACACACACACACACACACACACACACACACACATATATATATATATATATATATATATATATATATATATATATATATATATATATATATATATATAGGGTGCTTTTCTGGTGCAGTTTTGTGTTATGGTATGAACGTGCGGACACATACGGTGCACTGATATGGATTATCGGATGGCTAGTAAAATATCACACCGTAGTTATCATACACCGGCGAGCATAATGTTAATGGGTGATTGGGTAATTGCATTGTATACATTTTGAATTAACCATACCGAGTCCCCCGCTGGATAGTGCGTGCGGCGAATTGAAGCGACTGCGACTCCGACCGTCTCTTGCGACGATATTGAATCCGCCCCCTGCGACTGCGATTTTTTTGGTTTCTTGCGACGATGAGTATCGAAACCGTACTGCCACCAGCTCTACCGACCGGCGACGTTGCGGAGGCTTCCCTAACACCAGGTATGCGCTGAATTCCGTTGTCAAATTGCGGTGGCCAGTGTTCAATCCGAACCGGAACATTTTTTTGGGACAAGGTTATAGCAAAACAGTGATCAAAACAATTGCCTATGGGTTATGTTCCTCCTGTTTTGATTTCTACGAGGACTTTAATAACTACCACTACCAGTGAACTCTGTAACACAGAGAGCACCACACAAAATTTTGTATCCACCACTCCCCACCACTGCCTAGTTTATTTGTTTGATTGTTATTTTTTTGGGTTTTTTTTTTATTGGTTGTTGTTGGCAATCCAATTGGAACACGGAATGATGTGAATCCACTGCACTGCGTTTGATCCTCTTTTTCCATCGTTTTTTTGGTCGTCTGAACCTGAAATTGTTTGATCGTTTTCTTGAGTTGTAATTATATTTTTTGTATGTTCATTGAATGAGTGATGACGTTAGATATGCAGAGTTGCACGAGGGCCTCTGTTTTGTTCTCTTGTGTTTTTTGCTTCACTCAGTTGGTTCCCATCCCCATCATATCCACCCTCCATTACTGCGTCTTCCTCTCTTCTCTCTCACCCTCCCCCTCCCCTATGTTGATGTGAAACGTTTTTTCAGCAAGAGCTTAGTTCATTAAAATGGGTCCCCGGGGTCCCATGTCTCCATCATTATCAATGAGTAATTTTGGTTTGATATATATACATATAGTTAAATGAGAGATATTATAGACAAGGAAACAAAGACGTAATAGATAGATCAAGTGAACTGTTAATACAATTACATTTAAGGTTAGAGAAAGAGTATTTATAGAAGTGTTTTGTACTGCGCTGGTAAATGAACAACTAAAGTAAATACAAGACATTAGAGTGTTAGACCATACTAAATGCCAACTGGCTTAATAGAAACATGTCAAATAATGTTTAAGATGTTAGTTGACTTTTTTTTTTTTTTGGTATACCCAGGGTTTTCACCATCGAACAGGTTATCAATAAGTATGTTAACTTTGTTGAATTATTATAATCCTATTAGCTAATTGCACTGCGTTTGATCCTCTTTTATCATCGTTTTTTTGATCGTTTGAACCTGTAATTGTTTGATGGTTTTTGTTTTTTTTTTTTTTTTTTTGTTTTTGTGTTTTTCTCCCGGTTAACAAAGTAATTAGTATTAGACCAGATCCGGTCAGGAGTAGGATCACCCCACCCTGTAATTTCCACGGTTATGCCATATTATTGGTAGTATTAGTCAATTTGTAATGTCATACTAGGCATGTGGTTAGTATTTTTGCACTGCCTAGAAGTTGTTTAGATGTTGCCAAACCAATTGGTGGAAACCCCAATGCGAAATGAGTAGTTTGTTTTGAATTAGTTGTAATAATACTATGACATTACCTACACTGTTAACTAGTTTGGTATTTCTCGAAATGTTTTTTGGTTTTTTTTTTTTGTTTTTGCAATTTTTTTCCGGTTAACAAAGTAATTACTATTAGACCAGATCCGGTCAGGAGTAGGATCACCCCACCCTGTAATTTCCACGGTTATGCGATATTAATAGTAGTATTAGTCAATTTGTGATGTCATACTAGGCATACGGTTAGTATTTTTGCACTGCCTAAAAGTTGTTTAGTTGTTTCCAAACCAATTGGTGGAAACCCCAATGCGAAATGAGTAGTGTCTTTTGAATTAATTGTAATAATACTATGACATTACCTGCACTGTTAACTAGTTTCGTATTTCCCGAAATGTTTTTTTTTTTTTTGGGGGGGGGGGGGGGGGGGGGGGGGGGGGCGTCTATTTGGTGTTTTGTAATCGCTAGAACCCTTTTTAATCAAGATTTGGTTTGTCCTTGTAGAGGCGAATGTGACCGATGGTGGAAGCAACGATATGTACACCACCGTACCAGTCAGGTATTGGTGGCCTACTGTGGACCGCGCTGTAACCCCGTTCGTCGGGCGTCGGTTCAGAACACTGGCTGAAGGTGTTCATTTCTACATGACATACGCTAGAACATGTGGGTTTTCTGTACGTCACACCTCCCTGAAGCGGGGGCTAGGCGGCCAAATTACCACGCGTTACTTAGTCTGTAACCGGGAGGGAGTGAAAAGGACTGGTCGGCCCCAGCCTTCCCCCGTGGTTGGCAGCGGTAGTGGTAAAAGCACACAACGTAGGAAGCGGGTGTCGAACAGAGTTCAGTGCAATGCTAAGATCTGCTTGAAAAAGGACACGGGTGGGGAATTTGTGGTGTCAGTTTTTGTTGAAGAACACACCCACAGCATGTGTTTCGAGCCTTCGAGGCTATTCATGAGGATCAATCGGAAGCTTGATGTGGCACAACAAGCATTCCTTGCAAACTGTGTTAAAGCTAATGTCGGCGGTTCTAAAAGTTTCCGGTTATGCAAGGAAGCAGCGGGGTCATTTGCTGATGTTGGTGCAACAGAAATGGAGTTTCACAATTTCAAGCGAGACCTACAACAGTATGTTGACGCCAAGGACGGCGAGATGATTATTGCAAAATTCAGACAAAAGCGTGAGGTGTGTGAGGAATTTTACTTCGACTACCATCTTGATGATGAAGCCCATCTTGCTCGTCTTTTTTGGGCTGACCACACGTGCCGTCTTAGTTTCACGAGTTTTGGTGATATGATTTCTTTCGATGCAACCTACGGCACGAACAGGTACAGTGCCACGTTTTGTGCCCCGCCCTGTGCCATTAATTTAATTCACCACGTTAATGCGTAATTCATACATATCCGATTTATCCATGTTTGCACTCCTGCCCGCATAACTGATTACTGTTCAGTGATTTGTATTACTCAGTTGATAATGACGAGCAAGTGCAAAGTAATTTGTTTGCTTGTGGTTTTGCAGGTACGATTTGGTGTTCGTGCCTTTTACTGGGGTTGACAGCCACAAACGGTGTATTACATTTGGCGCAGCACTGATAACTAGGGAGGACACAGAATCATATGTGTGGGTCCTAGATAGGTTTAAAGATGCAATGGGAAAGAGCCCCATGTGCGTTGTTACAGATCAGGACCCGACCATGAAGTCTGCTATTGCGCGGGTATTGCCGGAAACCCGCCACCGGTATTGTATGTGGCACATCATGACCAAGGTCAGTGAGAAACTGGGCAGCACATTAGCGCAAAACGAGACATTCCGTAATAAACTTAACGATATTGTGTGGGGAGAGACCATTACCATTGGTGAGTTTGAGGCACAATGGCACTTGTTAATGGAAGAGAACAACTTAACAGGGCACCGATGGTTTTGCAAACTATACGCGGAGCGGGAGTTTTGGATTCCTGCCTATTTCTTAGACTTACCCATGGGTGGGCTGTTACGCACCACATCCCGGTCTGAAGCAACGAATAATGTGTACGGGAAAAGCACCCGCCCGTACTGTAGTGTAGTTGAGTTCTACATGCAATACGAAAGCGTTTTGGAAACACAACGTCATACCCAGGACAAATTGAATTCTGAGAGTGAAGGGTCCTTACCCGAGTTTAAAACCCCCCTCGCAATCGAGCGACACCTGGCACAAGTATTCACCCTAAGAATTTTTTATGAGTTGCAAAAAGAGATTGAATCTGCATGTTTTTATTGTGGGGTGGTAGGAATCCGTGAAGATAATGGGCTGGTCCACTATGACATTAAAGGGAGTTACAGTGTGACCCATACTGTTGAATTTAACCCGACTGTGGTTAGTGCGTCGTGCAGCTGCAAGTTGTTTGAAAGATTGGGGTTGGTTTGCGAGCACATGTTTTCGGTGTTTCGGGCTGCACAGGTAAAGAGCTTGCCACCTGAATGCATCACTCCTCGCTGGTGTAAGCACACTAGACTAAGTTGCTATTGTGCTAAACGTTCTGACTGCCCTTCCGTGGATCACGCCCCGAATAGACTGTGGACCGAGATACATAGCTGCCTCGCAATTATAGGGAGTAATACAACACGACAGACACGGATGTTGCAGGTAATACAAGATTTGACGAGTGAGTTCTTGTGTGATGGTATGGGTGATGACCATGCAAAGGGTAATCGTGGTGCCATAGCGGCTTTGTGCGGTGTGGAACCCCCGACAACTATAACTATCAAACCCCCCGCACAAGCAAAGAACAAGGGGACCGCAAAGCGAATTAAAAGCCAGCGTGAGTTAGCCATAGAGAGAAGTGCCAAGAAGGGACGAAAATGTGGGGTATGCGGTGAGTACGCCCGTCACAATGCCCGCAGTTGTCCACTAAAGTGAATGGTGCCTGAATCCGGTTTTCTCCAACTTATGAATTTCATTTTTTGCTTAGTAATAATATTGAAATGTCGTTTGCACTTCTATTTAGTAATACTATTGTAATAACGTTCGCACATTGTTTCTGCGATTGTAATAATTAATTGCGGACAATCATTTGATATGTCAAGTGTGTCTTTACTTACTATAAAATGCGGGTAGTGCACACCGCATAATATATTCCTCCTTCTCGTAATATGTGAACCACACAAATTGGCATTCCTTGTTCATTACTTGTGCATATATATTTTCCCCCCAATCTGTTTTTTCTAAACAGTGTGAAAACCCATGTGTGGATAGGGAAATTGGATTAATTAATCTGTTTTCTTTATGGATGGTGTGTTGTGGCTGCAAATGACTACTACTAAATGGTGTGTTATGGCTGCAAATGAGTACTACTAGATTTCTGTAGTTAGATAGGGAGGGTAGGGGTAGAGGCAGATCATGATGTAAGAAATTAAAATTAGGACCCATTGAGAGTGTTAACTAGCAGTAAAGAAAAATTAGGAAAAATTTAGGGAGGGTAGGTAAGTGTAAGTGTTTACTATGTAAAATCTGACGTTGTACCATGGCATCGGTCGTACGTGCTTTTTTGGGCATTGATATTGCACTATGAACTAACCACTACTCTAAGCATGCACTGTTTACCCTCTCACAAGATAAATGATGCAAAAAAGGCCAAAATTTGTTGTGGAAGAGATAAATTAATAGAACAAGGACAGAATCGTTGCATTAGCATACTCTTAACTTTAATTTTAATTGGGAGAATAACATAAACCATTTCCAAGTCCAAGAATTGCAAGTGTCATATGGCACAAGTATATTACCAATCTCAAAAAACTGGATTTCATGAATGCCCCAGAAACATGAACCTGGCGTCTTTTATTTTTATTCCATTTTCTGCTGTCCCTTTTTACTGCTTTTATGTCAAGTGTGTCTTTACTTACTATAAAAACAGATAATCTGAACAGAGAATCATTGCCCGATGGGGGAAAAAAACAGCCGAAGAGCATTTTATTAACAACGAACGCTCCTTATTGTACTCTAGTGGCTAAAAAATGAAGATAAGAATTACATGAGCAACAGGCAATTAAGTTGCTATTAGTCTTGGAAACACTACTGTTCATGCTAATGCCTCCCTATTATCCTGAGTGTTAACTACTGGTGCCCGGTGTGTGCGGTGCACCGGTGAGCAACCGTTTCATCCTATCCTGGTCATACTTCCCGGCTTGTGCACGAACATACTGCATGTTGGAATTCACTGCGCTGAGCAAGATGTTGTGCAAGTACCGCCTCCTCAAGGATCCAATTACCAGTTGATCCCCTGTCCGAAGTCCACTATCCCAACTCGCGGCATCTTGTCCAACAAATGATTCCATGTGTCTCATAGCATATATTCCCGAGTCCCCATTAGCAACTGTGTCACTCCATGCCAAACGCACCCTCTCGGGTTGCATGGCCCTCAGCCGGAGAGCACGGACAGTGTGTTCTTTGGTATCGAGGTATGCGGCTAGGAGGTCTCTCTGCAAATTGTAATTACATAAATTAAAGGTGCACCATCCCATTGGTTTAGTACGAACCACACTCGGAGTAAGAATGGTTGTGCTTACCAGTTCTTCCGGTGCTCCCCCGTATTGGTCTGTGCACATGTCCGTGGACGACGAGCTATCGAGGATTACAAACTTGGGGTGCTTAAAATTGATGCACATCACATAAAAACGCGGCCTGCGCAATATGGGGAAGACATACTACAAGAAATAGGGCAGTTTCAGTTAACACATACTGTTGGGGGCTGAGTGTATTAAAAACGTGGGATGGGTTACCATGTCTACTGTAGCTGTCCCCAATAGGTCAGTGGTGTGGAATTCGATATCTAGCCGGCGTTTAAACCACGACACCCTTGCATCACGGCTTGTTGAGATCCCCGTTACTGTCCCAATCTGTAAATACAACAATTATTAGTTATCGCTGTGTCTGTAAAAAAAAGGGCAACTCCATAAACGCAATCCCCCGAATGGGCATAAAATTAATTATACCTTGCCAGCACATGATACATTAATTAACAAATATGGAGGTCATGACATCTTTAGATTAACCTGGTTCACAACACACCATCCATATAGAAAACAGAATAATGAATTCAATTTCCCTACCCACACATGAGTTTTCAAACTGTTTAGCAAAAACAGATTAGGAAAAAAATATATATGCAGAAGTAACGAACAAGGAATGTCAATTTCTGTGGTCCACATATTATGAGAAGGAGGAATATATTATGCGGTGTGCACTACCCGCATTTTTTAGTAAGTAAAGACACACTTGGCATGGTAGCAGTAAAGCGGGAGAGCAGACAATGGAATAAACAGCAGAAAATGGAGAATGGACACATACCGTAGCAGCTGTTGAGAAAAACAGACGACTGAGCATCCCGCGCCTCCGAGGTTGCTCCCTAGCGTTGAGCACCGAACACCACGCATCTATTATTACCTTGGCCACATTCGTTCCCTCCTTCAAGGTTAAGAAGTCCGCCCACCTAGCTTTGCGTTCGGCATGTTGGAATAAAACTTGATTCCTGTCATATTTTACCCCAACAAGGGTCAGCACATGGAGTTCGGGGTCAGTAACAGATTAGGTAGCGCATGAGCCCCACGTGACTTACCGATCACTATGCGGAGAGCCAAACAGCCACATCCGTACGACATAAATCGGTGGAAGTGAGATGCTAGGGTACCCATCGGCGGTGCTGAAAAACATGCCAAACAATTCATCCTCGGGCTCTTGGGGCTTCTTGCCCTTGCGGCGTACATCAACTCTCAGCCTTGAGGCCCCCTGCATTGTTGTCCCCGCCCTAGTCTCCCGTCGTTGTACCTGCGTGTACGGGTACCTGCGTTTATTAAGACGGACAAACATGGAAATATATAGTCGTGCATGCGGGTGTTAGAGTTCATGCCTGTGGAGATGGCGTCCGTATGTCCGTTAGCTCTGTCGTGCGGTTGTCGACACTTGGGGTTTGTAGCTCCTGTGTGAAGCCTAAGCTAAAAGATGGTGCATCGACCCCATCAAACTCTTTTGTGGTCGCTTGGCCTGGCCCCCCGGAAGTTGCTGACCCCCGTCTTGCTGCATCCTCCACCCGGTCCAATTCCCTTAAAAACTGTGTGTCTTGCCACATAGCATCATCCGGGGGAGCTATGGATGCAACTGGCGGCTAAATTGGTGTGTTGCTGCTGTGGTGCATGCCCTCTGGCGTCCCCGGTGTCTCCCTCCTCAACAAACTAGCCGCATCGCATACACTTTTGAACTCGTGGTGGTCCCGAGCCTGAGTTGGGTCCTCCTGGATCATTTCAGTAATCCGTGTAGCCGCCGATAGTAAATCCTTAGCCACGTTCGTGAACTCCTGTTGGAACAACTGTAACCAAACAATTCCCAAAAAACCAAAGACCACGTTAAAGGTAGACCGACTGTGCCACACCAGTTGTGAAAGTATGCCAGTGTGCATTTAGAATGTTGTTTTGTAAGTAGTTTAGGTGTAGTCTTGTTGCATTCCATATTTTAATTGTGGTTGGTAATTTAGGAGTGAGTTGCATAATCTAATGCTTAATGCACTAGTGCTTAAATAATTAAATTCAATGAATTAATTGCCTTCTGTGTTCATTTTAAAGTGCGTATATGTTAATACCCTATGTAAACCCCAATGAAGAGGACATACCATGCGGGCATTCGTAGCAGGCACGTGGTGCACCGTAGGAGCAACGGCACCTCCCTGGCCCGATGCAACTCGTTGGACAATATGACTCCGTGGTCGCGTGGGGACCGCTTGGGGCAGCGCATCCATCTACACAAAACCATATTCCACGCACTTAAGGTTTAGTAATAACCCCCCCCCCCCCCCCCCCCCTCCCCGATAAGGTTTATCTGTACAAAAGTGTCAACTAATAAACACCATAAAGATTGAAAAAGACATACCATGCGGGAATTTGGAGCAGGAACGTGGTGTGGCGTGGCAGCAATGACATCCTCGCGTGGCAGCAATGACACCGGTGCAACCCGTTGGACGGTACGACCCCGTGGTCGCGTGGGTATTGGTTGGGGCAACGCATCCATCTGCACAAAACCATCCACTTGAGGCACATTATCAACCCCCCCACCCCTAAACACCACCCCCCAGTATCACTAGTTGTACAGAAACTATTGAAACTACACTTTACCCCCCGCACGGGCTCCTTGTGGGTTGGGAGTGGCCCCCCGTCGTCCCCCTCGTCTTGCGGTACCCCGTGGGGCTGCGAACGGCGGGACCGCGGTGCTGAACCACGTATCGGTTCATCCAGATGGCCGGTCCCAAAACCCCCACTATCTACCTCCCTCCTTTCCCGTGTTTTTAGCCGCACTGGCGTCCACCCATAGAGCGCTGGCACGGTTCTCGGTACATCTCTCGACCCGACGACCACCCTATCAACATATAAGAGCTGCACCAAGCAAATAACCCACATTACAAACAATACACATACCCCCGCATACGCATGTACCCATATTACCCTATACTTACCGTCAAGAACAATAACGGCCCCAGGAATTTCCCTGAAGAGCTTTGCTTCCAACTTGCGTGTGTACTGCCTAGTGTACGCAAGAGGTACCCACACCAATTTAGCTCTCTAATGCTGGTGGTGTCCCGAAACATATGCACCGTCCTCTGGTTCACATATCCGTTCAGTGTGCTAACAATGAGGCTGCTAACCGCTATCACACAAAAATGCCTCTTAAACCACACGCCGGACACATTCTGTTCTAAGATCTGCGTGGTAAGAGCCTTTACGGTGATATTGCCTTCTTCCTTCCTAACTTTAATCCTCCAAGCTTGCAGGTCAGGGTTTACCAGATGGCTATCCCGCTCAGTGATCGGGACCGTCCCATGCGGGAGCCCCAGTACTGCTGCAACATCTTCCTCCGTGATGGTGATTGACCTCCCG